TCCCCCATGGCACGTAGCGCCCCTTGCGTCGTGGCCATCAGCTTGTCCGCCTTATCACGTTCTTCCCGCGCCTCCTCTTCGGCCGAGGCCAGACGCGACTCCAGCTCACTCAACTTCGTCAGTGCGGCCGCGTTAGCGTCCCTCAGCTCGGCGTTCTTTGCAGCAAGCAGTGCAAGCAGGGCGGCATTCTCACCCTCCAGCGCCTTGAACTGGACAAGAGCCTCCGCCAGCTCGCCCTCCAGCACATCAACCTCCTCCGCAGCAGCAACTTCTCTTGCCGCCGCAAGCTCCTCCAGCTCACGACAGCGGCTACGCACACTCTCCAACGACTTGCCGACGTCAGTCTGCAGCCCCTCAAGGTGAACATCCTTCACTGCGAGGTCCTCCGCCAGCTTCTCGTTCTCGGCCTCCTTCTCTGCGAGGTCCTCCGCCAGCTTTTCTACAACCTCGGCCTTCTCGAGTATTTCCTCCGCCAGCTTCTCATTATCAGCCTCCTTCTGTATGAAATTTTCCGCCATCTTCTCTACAACCTCTGCCTTCTCGAGCAGTTCCCCTGCCAGCTTCTCGTTCTCAGCCTCCTTCTCTGTAAGCTCCTCTGCTAGTTTTTGTATTATAACTGCTTTGTCCAACATTTCCTCAGCCAGCTTTTCGTTGGTGTTGCGCAGTTCATTGAGTTCCTCTAATGTCACACTAAAAAGTGGCTCGGTGTCGATGACGTGAGGTTGTACGGCCTTTGCAGTGGGGTCTGCGGTGACGTCGCCTGGGTGGAGAGTGCTGAGCATTCCGTCTTGGAGACGGGCGTGTATTGAATCATGACGTTTTTTCCGAAATGCTCGAACCTCTGGCTCTAACTGATTTATCTGTTCCATTTTTGCCCCCAAGAGTGTTTCGAGTTGCTGGTTGTGAGCCTGCAGTTCACGAAGCGTTGCCTGGCTGTTTTGTTTCTCCTCCTCTAGCGCGTCACATAGTCTAGCGGCACGCTCTTTTTCGTCGGTGTACTCCTGAAACGTGACGCAGTAGAGGTCCTTGTCGTGGGTCGCCTCGTCGGGGAGTTGCCGCGTGGTGCGTACGTGCTGCACGTGGGTGTTCTGCATCTGGTATTGGTGCAGCTCGCCCTCCAGGCGGTCGGCCAGCTCCCGCAGCTTCGCTATCACGCCGTTGAGGCGCGCAACCTCCTGGTGGAGGTCGGCGGTGCGCAGCTGCAGGTAGTCGCGCTCGCGCTGCGCCTCCGCCGTCAGCTCTCGGACCTCAGCATTGGAGTGGGCTAGGGCATGTTGCAGGGAGCGGTTTTCGCCGTAGAGCTTGTCTAGCATTATAAGCAAGTCGCCAACCTCGCTCTCGTAGGCGTCCTTGTCGGCGGACATGTTGAGCTCCGCCAGCTCCTCCAGGAAGTCACTAAAACGGAGGCCGTTGTATTTTTTCTCGCTTATGCCCAGCACGCGGCACACGTCCTCGATCGCGCGGTCAAGCCCCTGCTTCGGCCCCCCCGCGCCCCGGTGGAGGTTCTCGAGGTACGGGAACTTATAGGCGCGGAGCTGCGCCTCCACCGCGCCGCTGGGCACACTGGTGGGGTGACGCACGTCAAACGCGGCGGTCAGTCCCCCCGCCGGGGCCGCCTGGAAGGTCGCATGGCTCACGCAGTCCGGCGGGGCGCGGAGGGCGTTGACCACCTCCGTGGTGAATGTCGCCAGTAGTTCCTCCGGTTTATCCGCAACCAGGACGTCGGCTCCGCCCCAGGGAAAGCTAAGCGTGTGCCGCGTCGCCACCCACCGCGTGTTCAGCTGCTGCGCTTGGGGCCGCTGCCAGTCCCACCCCGCCAGCTCCCGCACCTCGTCCCGCAGCTGCGTGACCTCGGCCAGGCTGCCCTCGGCTGGCATGCGTGGGGCCTCCGTTTCCGGGGCACGCGCCTTCGCCGCCTCAAGCAGGGCGTCTAGATAGAGTTTCATCCGCGCCTCAAGTTCCTCGTTGTAGGCCTGGAGGCAGCTCAGCTCCGCCGTCATGCTGCCAAGGCGGTCGCGGAAGCTCCCAAGTTGCTGCTGCTGCTGCAGGCGAATGGCGCCCGCCTCCGCCTTAATCGCCGCCGCCTCCTCCCCCGTAATGACGCAGGTGGGGGCATCCACGTCCACCGTCACAGCCCTGATGAGGGAGGAGGTAAGGATGGTCTCCTCCTCCCCGCGGCGCCGCGTAAAGCACATCACGCTGGGGGGCACGGAGGGAGAATTCTTCAGGCGGGTCAGTTCGTCGCTGAGGCTTTTTGACTTGTTGCGGCAGTGGCTCATCTCGTGGATGCAGCTCGCGATCTCCCCTGAGATAGCGCCGCCGCCGCCGCCCTGCACCCAGGGGTAGGCCACGTGCTGGTTGCAGTCGTTGCTGCTGATGCTGTTATTGTAACTTGCGCTGCCGTTGAGCTCGGAGCCGCGCCGGCTGATGCGCCGCTCGGCGTCAAAGAGGCGGTGCTGCGAGGCCCGCATCCTGTCGTTTACCCGCCGCAGTTCGTGCATGACTGCGTTGATGGCGTGCTGGTTGCCGCCCCACGCCTCGCGGTCCCAGCGGCGGACGACGCAGCGGTAGTCGTCGCCCTGCGACTGAATCGTGCCGAGCGCCCAGCCCCACGTCGCGCCGCTGTCGTGCTCGAGCCGCTCGTAGGCGACGACGGCGCCCACCGGGGGCGCGTGGCGGTCGTCCGGCAACACCGACAGCAGCTCCATCGCGCCGCGGCAAGGCGACGAGGCCCACAAACACGGACGAAGTAACAAAAATCCCGCCCCCTCAAACAAAAACAACAACGCACGGGAACTCGGAAATATTCACACGACTTCGCCCCACTTTCGCACAAAAACGAAAAACGAATAAACAAACAAAAAAGAAAATACAAAAACAACGGCAACGTCCGATTTGTTTGTCCCTTTTATTCTCCTCCCCTCTTTTTTTCTTACTACTGCTGCTGCCTACTCTCGCCCTGCCCCCTTTGCGTGCGCCTCAGTGCCGATGCGAACTGCGAGGCGACCGGCGCGGGTGAGGGCGGGCCAATAGGCGTGTGTGAGGTGTACTTCTGTCGAGCCGGGTAATTCGAGGCGGACACGACACGGGGCTCCGCCGGCCTCTCCACTTCGTCCCTCTTCCCTCCCTCCCCCGCCTGCTACCGCAAAATTAGAGAGCGAGGCGGTGCGAGCCACACGCGGGGCCCGATATGAGTGGAGGGTGGTTCTGTGTAGTTGTTACGCGTGAGACTATCTCTCGAACTGCGGGTGTTTACTCGCTCGCAGTACGTCCCTCACTTCTCCTCTTTTTTTTTCCCCGCCTTTCTCCGTTGCTACTCTCAGGGCTGTTATTTCCCTCACTTACTCTTTCTTCGCGCGCTCTATCCCGCCTTTGGTTTTGCCTTTTGTTTACTGCTTGCGTCTGTGCGTGTTTGTGGGTGGGCACGCGCACTGTGTGCTACGGGTAGAGCAGTGTATATTATGTTTCTAGCGTCGGCCCCTCTACTCGGCCAAGCGAATATGTCTTGCTTTTTTCCCTTTTCGCGTGCGTCTGTGCGTGGACAGCCACAGCGAGGTTGCAGGTGTCGAACACAAAGTCCTCCGCTTCGGCAACAGCAACAAACAAACAAACAAGCAAAAAAGACAGGAGGAAAGAGGAAGGGAGGCAGCGCGGCGGGCAGTGACGCACGTGCGGGGCGAAAGGGAGGCGCAGTCGGAGGAGGAGGAGGAGGAGGGAGATCCACACGTACAGGCAGAGAAAAGGGGGCGCGCATGACGCCGGCAGATCCGCCTCCCACGCGCGAGTCTCCGCAAATGGACGCCCCCGCATGAAGCGACGGCTCATGGCGGCGGCAAATCAAGCGACGAGCGAACGGAGACTGCGCGAGCGAAAAAAAAAAAGGCGGTGGGACAACAGGGGGAGGCCGCAGCGACGCCGGATGCCAAATGCACGCACTCCCCCCTCCCCCTCCCCCTCGCCTCCCTTTTTTTATCGTCTTTTCCGCCGCTTCTCTTGCCGCCCGGCCACCCCCGTCGGAGTCTAACATACATACACACCATGTGCAACGGCGGGCGCGGCGGCGGCGGCAGCGCCTCCCGGCCCCCTCATTTTGAGAGGAGCTGCATCTGCTCCTCCGCCCTCGCCCGCAGGAATTCGTTCTGGCTGTGCCGCACGACTTCCGCGTACATATCCTTCGCCTGCTGCTGCCGGGCGCCCTCGATTGCGCCGGCCAGGTAATACATAGCGGTGCAACTCTTCGCGGAGTTGGCACGGCCGGCGTCCTTCTCTATGGCAATTGCCTTCCGCAGGCACCCCTCGCCAAGCTTCACGTAGGAGGCCCGCACGAGGTCTCGGCCAAGCTCAGTGAGCAGCGCCGCGTCGGAGAGTCCCTGCATAATCGCCTGCTGCAGCACCATTTCCAGCTCCACGCGGTCCTTGTGCAGGCAGACCAGCGCAAGGTAGGCCCACGTCCGTGGGTTGATGTTGTTGAGCGTGTTGGACTCACTGAGGCATTCCTCGGCGGCGTCCAGCCGTCGCATGCGGTAGTAGGCGATGCCGGCGCCAAGCCACATTAGACTGCAGGGCCACGCCTGAATGCCCAGCGTGAACACGCCGAGTGCGTCGGCGTAGCGCCCCGCCGCAATGAGGAGGTTACCCAGATGGATGTAGCTGGGACCAAAACGGCGGTCTGGGACCACGTCTTCGCGGCAAAGCACCTGCTTGTACTCACGCACGGCCTCGTCATTGTGGCCCAGCGACGCGTGGCATTCCCCGCGAAGGAGGCCCACCGCATCCGCACACGACTCCAGGCCCTCCGCATTGCTCAGCGTGGTGAGGGCCTCCTCGTACTGCTCGCACAACATAAACAGACGGGCGTACAGCACCTCTGTCTTGGGCCCAGAGCGACACCGCGAGAGGCAGACGTTTGCGAGTTCCGGGTGGTGCAGCCGCAGAAGGTAGTCGGAGACGGCAAGGCTCACCTCGTTGTAGTCCACCTCCACAGTGGCCCCCATGGCCTCCTTCATCGCCAGCGCGCCCTCGCGCTCCCAGTAGGCCCGCTTCGCCTCGTACTGTGGGCCCTGCTCTAGCGCCAGCACATGCAAATCGCAGAGTAGCGAGATATGGCCCCAGCAAAGCGCGTCAGCCGCGACGTCCGCGGCGGCGTGCAGGTAGACGGCGGCCTCCTCAAACCGGCTGTGCGCAAGCAGAAGGTCCCCGTAGCCGAGGAGCGCGGCCACGTAGGTTGGGTCATGGGCAATCGCCTCGCGGTAGCACTCTTCCGCATGCGTGGCCTCAACAGTGCGAACAAAAAAATTAGCCGCATCAGTCCATACGGCGGCAAAATTGGCCGACGAACTACAACTCGCGATGCGGGCCTGATGGCACTTTGCCGCCTGCCCATATTCCCGCAGTGTCTCCGCCTCCTCCGCGCGTTCCAGCCACGTACGCTCCGTGACTCCAGAAAGGTCTTCCTCCACGGGATGCGGCGCGCCTACTGCTGCTTCTGCTTCTGCTCCTGCTTCTGCTGCTACTCGACCAGCGTCGCTAATGACGCTCCGTCCCAAAGTCACTGTCGTCTTGTTTAACGTGGTGTGCACGCAATCCATCAGGTACACGTATAATTCGTTTGTCAACTCACTCATGACTTCCTCTGAGGCGTCTGGGCTGCACAAAAACTTCTCCCGTACCACCTTCATAACCAGCGGCGTGAGTTGCTCCTTGTACGCCGCCAGTTGCCCTGAGGTTTGAAAGGACTCAAACAGTTCTTCCTTCGTGGTCCCCTCGCCCTTCGCCACTGCGGCCCTGTAGTCTTGCATGATCTTTTCGGCAATGGCCTCCACCACCTCTGTGAACTGCCACGTGCTGTCTTGGTACGGCTTGCTGGGCGGAGCTCGCTTGGGGACAAGATTGCTCGGCTTTAGCAGCGGCCGCACGCGATCACTCGCCAGTCGCGTGAGCGTCTTTTCAAGCCGCAGTGACACCAACGCGGAGGTGTTGTACGTGACGTACGGGTGCTGCGCCTCCATGTCGGGTTCCTCAAACAAAAGCGACGGTGCAGCGGACTTGGGCCGTTTCGAGCTCTTCTTCCGTCCCTTCTCCTCTGCCTGGGCGGGTTCCTTTAGCGGTAGCAGTGGCACCGCCTCTATCAGCTGCAGCGAGCCAGGCTCCGCGAAGGGAGCGAGATCGACGGGAATGACGGCGCGAAAGTACCACTGCTGCGTGTCCTCCCAGTCAGTTGGCACCCCGCCCTTCAGCACCCGCGCAAACCGCAGCTCCAGCGGCTTGCCGCTCAGCACCAGGGACTCTAACGCGGCAACGTGCTGCTCCTCAAGCGGCACGCGAATGACGCAGGGTGGAATTTCCTCGTCGGCGGGCACGGCGGGGGGCGGCACCTCCTCCGCCGCCGGCGGTGACACCGTCCGCCGCCGCCGCTTCGTTCCCTGCTCCTCGGAGCTCACGGAGGCGGCTTCGGCGGCGGGCGTCGTGATCCACAGCAGTTTCGCTTCCACCGGGGCCTCCCCCCCGCCCTCTGTCCTTGGGAAGCTCGCCGCCGTCGCCTTGGAGGTGGCGGCGCTGGGCAAATTCGGAGAATCCGGGACCTCGCGAATGTGCCGCAGCATCTCGTTCACCTCCGACGGGAGCGGCGGCGGCGTGGCCCCCGCGATGTAGGACTCGTATTGCGGTAATTCCTGCAGCAGACGGCCGTGCTTGAACGTGTACGTGTTCTCGCCGTCGATGCTGAAGCTGACCTCGTAGCGGAACGGGTGCTCCGCAAAGGCGGGCGGTCGCCCATCCGACCACCATGCAGGCGGCAGGCTGTGGACGTCGTGTAGCTTGACGTCGAGGTAATTCACGGGCGCCGCCGGGGCCTCGGTCTCCGCCATACTCCACCGCGCCTCTGCTTTTTCTTCTTCTACCTTTTTTTGCTCTTGTGCGCACGCACGTGTGACACGCGCTTAGCTACAGGGCCTGTTTGCGTTGATGCGTTGTGCGAGCAACGAGAGAGGAGGAACCAGAGAGAAAGAAAGAAAGACGCAGATAAGCCGCAGTCTGTGGGTGTGTCTGTACATATATATATATATATATATGTATGCATATACGTATTATTACTGCTGCTCTCACCGTTCTAATTAAGCCGCTTTTCATTATCTATATTCCCACGCCGTTTATGTATGCTACTTTTATTCTCTTTTACTTTCCTCCTTCCCCTGTGGCTGTCGTTCTAAATGATGGGTGTAGAGTTATTTTAACAAACCTCGCTCTTGCTTCACACGCGCGGGTCAGCCCTTCCACGGCCCCATTTTTCCAGTTCCCCGTTATCCCTCGCTTCATAGCTTTATCCAGATGCATCTTCCCCACACACGCTGCTTTCCCCTCCTTTTCCCTCCCCGCACAGGGAAGCCCACGCCCTAACGCTCCTTTCACCCCCCTCTCTCCACGACGGACACCCAAGGCGAGACGCAGCTGGAGGAAGATGCGGATATGCTGCCTAGTCGCGCGAGCGCTTCTGCCCACGGCGGCCGCCTGCACCACGTCCAGCCCCGCCGCGGCCCCCACCACGTCCTCGTTGGTTGTGCTTCGCCCGTTCGCCGATTTCATTCTCGACGTCCAGCAGCAGCTGCTTCTCGTCCGCCCCCTCCAGCTTCTGCACCTCCGGCTGCTTGCCGTTGAGGGTGGTTCCGCGCTGCTGCAGGTCCGCCACCATCTTCTCCCCCGTCGCGGCATCCTGGAAGATGAGCAGGGCCGTCTCCTTGTCCGGCAAAAAAACGTAGCGGATGCCCTTCCGCTCCTCCGCCGGCCACATCTCCTTCACGCTTGAGAAGCCCTCCAGCGCCCCACACCCCGTCACACGGTAGCTGCTGTCGAGCGGCATGGAGGGCGTTTTCCGGGCCTCCGTTGCGGCCGGCTGCTCCTCCTGGTTCTGCGGCTGGCGCTTGCGGCCCTTGTTTTTGGCGGCGATCTCCTCCGCCTTCCTCGCGAGGTACGCGGTCTTCATCTCCGCCGTGAGCTGCACCCCATTGTGCATCGGCGGGGCTGCCTTAAACGCCTCCGCCTCCTCCTTCGTGCTAAAGACTACAAAGGCAGACGGCTTCGTGCGCGCCTCGGGCTCGGCGTCCTTCTTGCCCGGGAAGTAGCGGCGCCAGACGGCCTGAACGGTGCCGTACTGGTTGAAGAACTCCGTGAGCTCCTCGAGGGTCGCGCTGGGCGGCAGCGGCTTCACGTACACGGTTTGGTCGTCTGTCTGGATGGACTCCGGCAGCGGCTCCCTGCGGCGCACCATGAGGCCGTCCTCGCTCAGCACCAGCCTCTCGCTCGGCCGTAGCGCCTCGGCGAGCGCCGCCACCTCCTTCGTGAGGGAGTTCACCCGGTTGAAGGTCAAGAGCGTCTCCAAGGGAACAAAACCCTCGGCATTTTCCGACATTTTGGTCTTCAAAAACACATCCTTCTGCACGTTGACGTCACTAAAGTAGAACTCCACCTGTCGCTGCAGCTTCGCCTGCGTCTCTGCGGAAATTGACATGTTTAGCGACTGCCCCTTCACCTCTTCTTTTCCTTCTCGTGTGTTCGTCTTCTTCTTTTCCCCTCGCTCGGTGTTGCCTCGCCAAGCCCTATGGCTCTCTCCCCGCAGGCGTGCGGCACGGGAGGGAAGAATGAATAAACAAAGTAAAATAAAAGATGAAAAAAGAGTTGCACGCAGGGGACCCACCACCCACAGCACCGCGCGGCGCGACCGCCCGCAAGGAGACGGCGAAAAGGCTCCTCACGTCAGCCGCACTCCACAACCTGCGGCGCCCCATTGAGGCCCCACTTGACCAGCCTAGACGAAATGGGAGTCAGCCAGAGAGAGAGAGAGAGAGAGAGAGAGAGAAACAGAGGGCGAGAGAGAGGGGCGAGAAAGAGAGTGAGTGGGTGAGAGGAGGCCACGCGTAGAGACGGTTTCCTCCCCTCCACCGCACACACGGCTCTTCGCCGTTAAGTCTCTCACTCCGTTCCCCGCCTCCTCCCCGCCCACTCTCTCATCGCCCGTCCCACGGGCAACAGAGAATGCCGCGCGAAGAGGGGCGAGAGCCGCGGGGAGGAGGGCAGGAGTGATTATAGTATTTACAATCCGCCCGAGCAGCGTCCGAAGCGGTCATTACGAGGGAAGAGTTTGGGGACCGGGTGTGCGCCGCAAATAAACAACCCGGCCTTAATTGGCCCCTGCCCACCAACGACGCACTGCGGTGCACCTCGCATAAAGGCTTACCCACACACACACACACACACACACACACACACATAGACAACTCAAGTTTAAACAACTCACTTCCATCCTTTAATATATATATATATATATTATTATTATTATTTCCATCCTTTTCTTCTTCCTATTACGGAAGCCCCCCTTTTTTTTTGCATCCTCCTTCCTTTTGTTCACTGGGCCGTTCTAAACATCTTGGCCAGCATAACGCACACACACACACACACACATATATATATATATATATATTGGTTTGTTTTTTAGTTTACTTTTTCTTTTCGTGTATTCCTTTTTTGTTTTTCTTTTCCGCGTGTTTAACTCAGCTGCGTCGTTATTGCTTGGTATTACTGCTTCTTAACTGCGGCAGCGGCTTTTGGCTTCGGCGGCGGCATCGTGCGAATCAGCTGTTGCAGGAGCGTGGTGTCACTCACCTTGAGGTTGTAGACGGGGATCGCCCTCACCACAACTCCGCCGCCGGCCGACGGCTGTGCCGCGGCGGCGGGTTTCCTCTGCGTCGCGCCGCTCGTCGCTGCGGCGGCAGGGGCGGCAGGGGCAGCGGACGCGGCCGGCGGCGGCACTTCATCGTCGTTGAACCCCGGCTGCCCCAAGAAGTCGCTCTTCAAGAACCGCCCGCCCTTCCCGGTGAATTGGAGCGACTCCAGCGTCTTGCGGTCCAGCCGCGCGGCGATGCGCATGACGGCCGGCCCGCTCGCCGCAATGGCCCCCTCCAGCGAGCCGCCGTATCGCTTGCCAGACGGAGGCGCGGCGGCGGCGGCGGCGGCAGGCGCTTCCGCAGCTTTAGCCGGGCCGCCACCCGCGGCGGCGTCCTCGGGGCAGTAGCCCGCGAGCTTAGGGACGTCGGCCGCGTCCTCCACCATGACGGCGATCGTCTTTGCGACGGCCACCGTCTCCCCGTTGTGGCAGAATATCTTCGCCAGGTAGCCGGCTTCGAACGTATTTGTGTAGTCCACCACCGCCTTGTCCGTCTGCACGGTGCAGAACACCTCGTTCTCCTTCACGAGGTCGCCCACCTTCTTCTTCCACTCCACAATCACGCCCGTCTCCATCGAGGGCGAGAGCGCCGGCATGAAGATGGGGCTGGCATTCACGCCGGCCGGCAGCTCTGAGGAGCCCCCCGAGGCCGCTGCAGGCGCTTCCGCCGCCGCGGGTGTTTCCGCGGCAGGGGCACTCGCCTCCTCCCCCTCCGGCGTGTACTCATCGGCCTTCGCAACGTCGGCCGCGTCCTCCACCATGACGGCGATCGTCTTTGCGACGGCCACCGTCTCCCCGTTGTGGCAGAATATCTTCGCCAGGTAGCCGGCTTCGAACGTATTTGTGTAGTCCACCACCGCCTTGTCCGTCTGCACGGTGCAGAACACCTCGTTCTCCTTCACGAGGTCGCCCACCTTCTTCTTCCACTCCACAATCACGCCCGTCTCCATCGAGGGCGAGAGCGCCGGCATGAAGAGCGGCGAAAAGTTCACCAGAAACAAAAATGAGCGACGCATGTTTTTTTCTGTTCTCTCCCTTTTCTTCCTACTCTCCTCCACTACTGCTGCGGAATCGATTCACCTAAACTTGTGCCTGGCATAATTAAAGCCACCGGCGGCAAACAAACGGGGGGATGAGAAGAGAGAAATAGGGGGCGGCGGGGAGGAAGGGGTGGGGCCGCGGCATGCAACACCCCGGAGCAGCACGCAGTGGGGGGGGGGGAAAAAAGAAAGAAGGAAGAAAGGCGGCGCCGACGGGCCGAAGGCGCGTTGCAGCATCGAATTCCACACATGGCTCATGCCTCTGCAAGCGTGTGGGGAGACAAAAAAAACGCAATAACGCACACGCACACACACACACACACGCACACACACACACACACG